GAAAAAAAAAAAAAAAAAATATATATATATATATATATATATATATATATATATATATATAATTTTTCTATTTCTTTATCTTCCCCCAACTCAAGAAAACATCAACTGGGACAACTCTCTATATCCAGGGCTTCTTGTTTCCTTGGTTTTATATCAGTCTCTCTAGAGATTTATAACTTCATTGTTACCAGAGGCTTTTTCTTTTCCCAAGTAACCCAAATACCCACTTAAAATGATCAATTCCCTACCCCTCCTCTTCCATTAAGTTATCCCAGTAGAGGTAAACTCAAACTGGGTTTGTTTGGTTTAAACTGAGATTATCTAAAAAAAATCAAACACGAAAGCTTCTAGAAGAATGTTAACCCCAAAGATAGAAAAGAGTTTTTTTTATCATCAAAACAGTAAACTCTCAAACAAACAAAAAGACAAAAATAACAAGATAATTTAAAATTTTGGAGGTCAGATCCACAACTAGTAAAAAGTCCATGCAGCTCATAACTATAAAAAAGATACCTGCACACGTATGATTATCACAGCATTGTTCACAATAGCAAGAACCTGGAACCAACCATGCTGTCCATCAAAAGAGGACTGGATTTTAAAAATGTGGTATATATACATGATGGAATACTACGCAGCCATTAAAAAGAACAAAATCATGAATTTTGCAGCAACCTGAATGAAACTAGCGTCTATAATACTGAGTGATTTTTCATAGCAACAAAGATCTGAGTATCACATGTTCTCACTCATAAGTGGACCTTGAACATCTATTGTAATACTGTAAGAAAAGGATTGACAGTAGTGGGAATCTATGGGGTGGGGACAGGGAGGGCAAGGGTGGTGGGATTAATGGTACTCAATATCTGTCTGGGGATAGGGGGACACCCCTTATCAACAAGAGTGCCTGAACGATGCATAGTTGTATACCTAACCCTTAACTGTACCCCACAATTTTAAAATAAAAAATATAGCCGGGCTCGGTGGCTCAGCCTGTAATCTCGCGCCTTTGGGAGGTTGAAGTGAGTGGATTGCCTGAGTCCGTGGGTTCGAGACCCGCCTGGGTAGCGAGACCAATAAATCAAAAAATCAGCCGGGCGTGGTAGCGCGCGCCTGTAATTCCGGCTACTCAGAAGGCTTAGGTGGAAGGATCGCCGGAGCCCAGCAGGTCGAGGCTGCGGTGGCCGGGAGTGGCCACTGCACTCCAGTCTGGGCGACAGAGTGAGACTCCAACTTAAAAAAATAAATAAAATAAAATAAAATAAAAAATATATTTAATTTAAAAAAAGAAAGAAAAAAGTACTCTAACAACAACTAATAGTTTTGCTTTAATATCTAAATTTAGAATTAACAGGAGACAAAAAAAAACAAAAACAAAAGTAAAGAGAGGTCAACAATGGGTAGCATTAAAGATTGGAAGTAAGCCGGGTTCGGTGGCTCAGCCTGTAATCCCACGCCTTTGGGAGGCTGAGATGAGCGGATTGCCTGAGCCCACGGGTTCGAGACCCGCCTGGGCAGCGAGACCTCATCTTTACAATAAATCAAAAAATCAGCCGGGTGTGGTAGCACGCGC